CTGAGGGCTTTGTGTGTAAGACCTTTAATTCTCACAGAAATCTTGGGAAGTGGTTCCTATTGTTATTTTCAATTAAAAGATGAGGTTCAGAGAGGTTAAATATATTGTCCAAAGTCCCATTATGAGTGGCTGAGGCAAGATTCAAACCCTTGGCAGACCCCAAGCCCATTCTCTCAGCCCCAAAATGGGGCGACATCACCACGTGTGGGAGAAACTCACACCCTGGAATTTCTGGGCCCACATACATTTCAAGTATCCTGTGCTTTGTTCTCATAAAAACACTTGAACTTGTCAGCTATGTCTTGATCTGTGTTTTGGCAATGTGATCCCTCTAACTCCTTGTTTTCCAAACCTGCCTCAACAAAAGCCTGTATCCTGGTGCTTTTGAAAATACAGGTCCCAGCATCTTACCCCAAATCTATGAAGTCAGAATCTCCAGCAGACAAGTCAGGGCACTTGTATTTCTAAAACAAATCCCCAAAGTGATGCTTAGATCAAGTAAACATAAGAAACTGTCTCCAAACTACACCTAGTCCTGCCAGATGCCGAGAGGGAGGAAGGGAAATAAAAGATGGCTAAGTGATGGTCCTTACCATCAGGAAGCATGTCATCCAGCCAGGAGCCCATTAGGAGACTCAGAAAGAATCATGGGAGGGCTGCGTGGAAGAGGTGGAACTTAAAGTGGGCTCTATGGGACTGAGGGTGGCAGGAAGAAGAAAGAAAGTTATTCTAGACAGGAAGAGCATCAAGTACAGAAGCTGTGAGAAGAGAATGAGTTTGGCATTTTTATGAGGCAGGGAGTGGGTCAGCCCACCAGCCTTGGGGTGTAGAGAGAATATGTGCAGGAAGAAAGTTAGCCTAAGCAGGGCAGTTTCTGGCAAAAGTTAGTTAACATATGGGTAGCACTAGGGAACCATGGCAGGCTCTGGAGTGAGTGATTGCATGATAAAAGGGGTGATGAAATAAAATGGAGACCCCTGCTCCCCAGGCCCTTGAGCTGTGATAGCAGATGAGAAGTAACACCTCTAGCTCCAGTGGTGTCTTAAATCTGGGGGTCCCTGAGGCCTCACAGAGAGCTTTTTCAGCAGGACTCCTGAGCCTGGAAGAACTGTCTTCAAGTGAGATGTCAGGCTGAGATGGAGGCATTTGGGGAATGGGGTGGTGAGGCTGCGCACACCTGTCATCGAGATGGAGAGGTGAGGAAGGAGAGAGTGCTGACATGTATATATCAATACAGGGAGAGGCTCCAGGCAAAGCCAGCCAGCACTGGAAATTCGGCATAAGCTACCTTAAGCAGTTTTCTATGCCTCTAAATTATCTTACCATGAAAGCCTGATCAATAGTATGGAAAGAAAAAAGTGCCAAAGAGAGAGGCTTATGCTGAAAGAAACCAGGAGCCTGGCCTGATTGCCCTGACACAGACATGAGCCCAAGCTTGCTGTGGAAGAGGTGGGACATTCAGAGGAACCAGCTCCACTGGTTGTCATGCGCTATGTGCCAAATGAGTCGTCCTGAAAATTAGAGGCTGAGTTGTTCAAGACCCTTGGTTTAAGCGACGGGAACCCAAATTCAATGTAGTTTCAGCAAAAGGGAGATTTACTGGCTCAAGCACTAGACTCCTTTGGTCATTGGCTTCGGGCATGGCCGAATCCAGAGCACTCTTGTGGTATAATCAGGACACTCTCTGGGCAGTTCTCAGCTTTGTTTCCTTCCGTGTGGCCTCATTCTCTGCCACTGTTTTTCCATGTTATAGAAAAGGGCATGCCTTCTAGCTCCAGCCAAGGTCTTTCAGAAAGAAGGGAGATCCTTCCTCTCCCAAGCCCATTCTGGTCCCTGGTCCACCCCTGGGTCAGTCCCTGTGTCCCATGAGTTTTATGTTCATTCATGTGTGGCCAAGTCCTGGCCCTTGATTGACAGCCCATCAGAATCCCAGAGTTCCGGGACGAAGGAAAGTCCCCAAAAGGAAAAAAATGTGAGGCAGAAAAAAAAAAAAAGAATCAGATATTCATGACAGTGCTATAGGAGTTCAGAGTCTAGAAAGGACGGTCCTGAGAGGCTTCCCCAGGGAGCAAAGGCACTGGGAGAAGACAATGAGGCGTCAGGCAGAGGGCTAGTCATATGACAATACCATATGATATCACTTATATGCGGAATCTAAAAAAAAAAAAGACAAATGAACATTTGCAAAGGGGAAACAGACTCTCAGACATAGAGAACAAACTTGTGGTTGCCAGGGGTGGAGAGGGGTGGAAGGGAGTGGATTGGGAGTTGGAGATCTGCAGATACTAACTGATATCTATGTATCTATATATACACACACATATACACATTTATATATTAGATAAGCAAGTTTATGCTGTGTGGCACAGAGAATTATATTCAATGTGTTACAGTAACTTATGGTGAAAAAGAACATGAAGATGAATATCTGTATGTTCATCTACGACTGAAGCATTGTGCTGTACACCAGAAATTGACACAACATTGTGAACTGACTATACTTATATATATATATATATATACACACACACAAAATTAATTGTTTTAGACCTTGTGTTCAGATAGCAGTTATGTCATGTTAACATTCTTAGTTAGTACCAGGACTTACTGTTTATCTGTTTACCTTTTTTTAATCCTCCTTCTCCACTCCAAGGGCACCTGCTATATGTTTCATAGATATCCTTGAATATTATCCATGGGAAAAAAATACATATTCTTAGACATATATACACATATGAATGTGTATATATACATGCATTTGTATAGGAGTGTACTTTAAACACACATACACACACACACACACACCCCTACTTCAGCACTAACAGTGTGAGTTAGAAACCCAAAGCCCAAGGAAAATAGACAAAGAAAATTTCACATTGCGTTGGGGGCAGAACTCGGCTTCCATCCCAGACATCTTGATTCACAGGCCAGTCCTTCCACCAGAGCATACATATATTTTAAATTCACATAAATTGTTTAATAGCCAGGATCTAGCAAGAAAATCAGAAACCACTCTAGGTCTTTCGAACAGAGAGAATTTAATATAGGGGATTGGTTAGACCAAAGATGGGAGAAAAGAGAAGAGAAGAGTAGTACGATGATGAGATTACCCACCACAGGAAACCACCCCCACCCCCACCCCCAGAGCTGGCAGAACAAGGGGAAGAGTGATGCCATCAGAGCCCAGAGCTAGGGCTTATGAGTGGGGCTCCTAACCGGGGACTGCCTGGTGGGATGTGAACAATTCGGAGAAGAACCACTGAAACAGAGCAGGACCCTGTGGGGCCCTCCCTGCTTCAAATCCTTTCTGTAACCACCACCCCCTACCCTTCCTTTTTGTTAAAAAAAAAAAAATAGGCTTCATTCAGCTTCCTTGACCTTCCTTGAGTTCCAAAGGGCAGATTCAAATAGTTGCTAATCAGAGAAAGGAGGGAATACAGAGACAAGGGAGGAACAGCAGGGAGACAATAGTGCAGCCGTCAGGCAGGGTCCTGGCTCCTCCTCAAGGAATATACGTAACAATATCTTTGAGTTCTTCTGCTGGAATTGAGGTCCCCACCCACATGGAGGAGGACAAATTCAGCCTGAGCACAAGATTCCTGGAACATCATCCTGTCACCTCACCACCAACCACCTGGAAGAAACTCATACACCCTGCTGCCCTCACCCCAAATTTTGCCTATAAAAACTTTTCCCCCCCAACTGTCAGGGAGTTCAGGTTTTTAGAACATGAGCCACATGTCCTCATTGTTTGGCCCGGCAGTAAATCATTCTCTGCTCCAGACTCTGAAGTTTTGGGTTGTTGGCCTTGTTAGAGCAGGCAGATAGCTAGATATGAGCAGAGAAAGGGGGACACAGACCAAATGGCAGGAACTGGGCAGAAAGGAGGGGCACAGGCCAAATGCAGGAAACCACACATCATGTAAGCAGCAGGGCTCCTTGGGCAGAGAAAGAAAGGCAGGAACCTTGGGGCTGATAAGGGATCATGCCTTTTAGGATGACAAGTGGCCTGGAGAAGAACAAAGAAAGGTGAGAAAAGGCAGGAATTTCTAGTGTCCAAATGTAACCTTTTGCTCATTATGCCCTCATTTCAATAAAATTAGCCTTGCAGATCAGAAGTACCCGTCATGCACCGACGCCATGACACTTCCAATCCAGACTAAATAAGGACAAAAATCCCTCCTCCCTTCGGGAAGGTGGAGTTGGGATGATAATCAGGGAATACGACCCCAAACCCTTCCCTCCCCAATGAATATTCCGCCCATTCATTTTTACACCCTATGTAACTAACTTGCCAAAGAAACTCAGGGCAGCTGCTCACCTGAGCCTGCCTGCTCTCCCCTGAGAGTGTACTATCCATCCTTTAATAAATTCTCACTTTACCTTTTTTAACCTCTAAGTCTCTTTTCTCTGAATTCTTTCTGGGACGGGACAAGAACCTGGAACACCGGTTGCATCTATCGGCGACAGCCTCACTGTGCGTCAGGCGCATAAACTTTTGTTTAGTAACAGTATCAGGAAGCTCGATGCATGAAGTGGAAAGTCACTTTTTACTTATGGCTGGATTGATTCTATGTGCCTAATACTTGGGTGAGAAGGGCCAGAATCGGTTGTCAAAGGGCCACAGGCAGAACCTGAGATGGAGTCAGAGCCAAGAGCATGTGAGAAGTGACTCCAGGTCTGGAAACATCCAAGGGACACTGGGAATCTTTGCCAAAGGGCAGGGTTGATGAGTGGGAGAAGCAGGCTCACAGGACCAAGGTCTTGGTGAGAGGCCACGTAATTGGCAGCTTTATGCGATGTCTCTGAGGGATTACTGGAATGCCCCACTGTACCACTGTTAAATGACTGCATTTTGTAATTACAAGTCTTGAGACCACTCCAACTGGGAGATTTGCACTAATCTGTGCCTCAGCCAGTGTAGAGTGGTTCATTTGGACAATTGCTGTCACTTCCAGGGATGGATGGAGACCATTTATCTATGCATTGTGTCCCAACAGGTCTGGAGTCAGTGTTAACAACAGCAGATCCATTTTTTTAAAGCACCATTTCTATTCTGATCCTCCTGGATTGAGACTCTTCAATGACAACTATTACCTCCAGGGAGAAGGCCAAACGCTGCATGTGGAATGATATCCGTGTCCTCTACAGCCCCCTTGAGTTCACATGTTGAAATTCTAAGACCCAATGTGATGGTATTAGGGGGTGGGGCCTTTGGGAGGTGCTTAAGTCATGAGGGCAGAGCTCTCACGACTAGGACCCCACCGACTCCCTCACTTCCTCCACCATGTGAGGTTATAACGAGCAGTTAACCTGCAACCAAGCAGGCCTTCGCCAGAACTTGACTGAGCTGGCACCTTGAGCTTGGAGTCCCATCCTCCGAACTAAGAAATGGGTTTCTGTTGCATGTGAGCCACTCAGTCTCAGATAGTTTTATCACAGCAGCCTGAATGGACTAAGACAGACTGCAAATAGAAAACAATTTAACAATGTGCATTAGTCTCCTGTGACTACCATGACAAACCCGGTGACTGAAAACAGCAGAAATGTATTCCTTCACGGTTCTGGAGACCAGAAGGCTGAAATCAATGTGTCCACAGAGTTGGTTCCTCCTGGAGGCTCTGAGGGAGAATCCATCTCCTGCCTCCCTCCGAGCTCCTAGTGGGAGCTGCTGAGCATTGCTGGCATTGTTTGGCCTGTGGATGGGTCGCTCCAATCTCCACTTCCATCTTCTTGTCACCTCCTCCCTATGTTTTCTTTCCTTCTCTCATAGGGACACTTGCCCTTGGATTTAGGTCCCACCTTAATCCAGAATGATCTTATCTCAAGATCCTTAATTAATTACATCTGCAAAGACCTCTTTTCCAAATGTTACATTCAGAGGTTCTAGGGCAGGGGTTTATCTTTAGGGTGGACACTGTTCATCTCACTACATGGTATTTTAAATAAAAAGGACTTTATTCTTTTCATTTAACAAGAAGTCTGGAGGTCTGCAGCTGTCAGCCCTAGTTTATGCTCTCTCCTCTCTGCAATTCCCTCGGCAGGTAAGATAGCCACCCCGGCTCCTGTGTCACATCTGCAGGGGGTGGCAGCACCAGTCACGTCTACCCCTGTTGTCACAAGCTTTCTCAGGACCCCACCCAGCAGATATCTTTTCTGGAAGAAAGCCTGAGAATATGAGGCTTGAGTTTTTCCTGCCTCTGAGGTGCAGGTGGGCGAGGCAGCAGAGGATGACATGTGTGTGTTGGGTTCAGTGTCTACCACAGTAGGGGGACACAGCGACCAGCATGCTGTCCATGCCCTCAGAGAGCTGAGCAGGATTGTCTTATTTAAACCTCATGATATCCTTGTCTTAAAGTTTGTCTGGCAGCAAGAAATGGAACCCACTGGTGGACTGTGTGATGCACTGCCCAGAGTATCCTTCAAGGAAGGATCTGCTGCCCCAACTGTAGGGACACTGTCAGGAGACCATCTTCAAATGTCAGGTCCCTTGGGGACCAACTCAGCTGCAGAGAGTGGCCTCACCCAAAGTCATGCCCCTCCCAGAGAGGCCCCCATCCAATGCTTATCCATACGGATCTGGCCATTTGGGTCCAATCAGAACAATTTTGAAGGGTTATTCTAACTTCAGAGCTTTTCACGGTGTCATGGCCCAACTGGCTTCCCTCCCAGTCATATGTTGATGCCCTCACCCTCAGGACCTCAGAATATTGAGACTGGGTCTTTAAAGAGGCCTTTATGGTGAGCCCAAGGTCCAGGATAACAGGTTTCCTTATAAAAAAGGAGATAAAAATGTCTGCCCTAACACAGACACACACAGAAGGAAGACGCTGTGAAGACAGCGGAGGAAGGCAGTCGCCTACAAGCCAAGGAGGGAGGCTGCAGAAGAAACCAACTCTGCTGACACTTCGGTGGAATTCTAGCCTCCAGAACTGGGAAGAAACGGTTTCTGTTGTTTAAGCCACCCGTCTGCTCTCTGTTATGGCAGCCCACAGACCAGCACCCATGGGTGGGCTGAGGCTCTGGGCATATCCCAGCTCGGCTTCCTCCTCTGCCCACTCCCACTTCCCTCTCTTCCTTCCCGCGGTGTCCATCCCGAGGGCGGTCCTCAGGAAACACGGCGCCCACTTAACTCCATCTCAGAGTCGGCTTCCAGCCCGGGCCTCAACTCACACTGGCTGAGGGAACGGGGAGAGATCTCAGAGGCCCCAGGGCACGGAGCGCAGGGCCTCCTGAAGGGTGGAAACTGGAAGTAGAAGCTGGGAAGGAACAGCGTCTCTATCTATTTGTCTCGGCACCTCTCCACTTTCTCTTGCCTTGGCGCCTCTCCGAGCCCCAGCTTCCTTCTGCAGAGTCTCCCTGAAGACCTACCCTCCTGGCGGGCTCCTTTTCTCAGGTGCCTTCAAGAGGACCAGCCCCGCCTGAGTCTAATCCGGTCACCCCTGACATTCCCTCCCTGTTCCTTTGTTTCAATTCTCAGAGAATCTGATTGTCCCTGCTCACGCCCACGTGGTGGAGGCAGGACCTCCAGGCCTCTACGTGGCGCAGTGGGGAAGAATGTGAGGTGGGGTGGGGCAGGTGACAACCCTTTGGAATTTTCTGAAGAAGGGATGGAGGCCCAGGCCGTACTGCTAGCTGCCGTTTACCATCTGGAGACCCTTGTGCTGCTGTGTGTTGTTATCATAAATTTCCCTAATTTGATGGGAATTAGAAGGGACTCGGAGGCCAGCGGCTGTGTATCAGACTTCTGTGCATCTTCCTCTCCCCTCTGAACCCACACCGCGCCCTCAGCCAGGCTTCGCTCAGAGCTCATGCCTAATGGACATTTGTGGATTTGAGGATGCAGGCCAGGATTTCAGATCAGTTACATCCATTTTCTTTTGTGATCACAGCCTTTTGTGATCATTTGAATTGTGCCAGCCATCTCCAAGAGGCATGAGTTGAAAGGTAGGGGTGCAGCTGGAGCTATGGTTCTAGACAAAATTACTTAATTGCTCTTTTTTTTTAGTTGTGGTAAAATATACATAACAAAATTTACCATTTTAACCATTTTTAAGTGTAAATTCAATGGCATTAAGTATATTCACATTGTGCAACCATCACCACTATCCATCTCCAGAACTTTTTCATCTTCTCCAACTGAAACTCTGCACCATTAAATACTAACTCCTCCCTCCTCTCTCCTCCCCCACTCCTGGCAACTATCATCTACTTTCTGTCTCCATAAGTGTGACTACTCTTGGTACCTCAAATAAGACTAATCATACAGTATTTGTCCTTGGTGACTGGCTTGTTTCACTTAGCATACTGTCTTCAAGTTTCATTCATGTAGCCTGAGTTAAAATTTCCTTCATTTTTAGGGCTGAATAATTGTATGGCTATAATATGTTTTGTTTCTCTATTCATCTGTCAATAGAAACTTGGGTTGCTTCCATCAATAGCCATTTTTAAGGAAAAAATTAATTCAGCACTTACTATGTACTAGGCATTGTACCCAGTTTGTAATAATGCATTAGTCAATGAATCTTCCCAGTAACTTTAAGAGTTGAGTATCATTATCCCCTTTTAGGATGAAAAAACTGAGGCTTGGAAAAGATACAGATTTTCCCACCAGTTGCCCACAAGTAAGTTGCAGGGTCAGATACTCTCCCAGGGCTGTGTAATGTCAGATCAGCTAAGCTTCCCACCCATGGAAAGTGACATCTCAGTGATGCACTCCGCAAAATCCTGAATGGGCAAACTACAGAAATAATGACCTCGTTCTTTCAACAAGTAAAGTGGAAGGTT